TTATCTACTTTTATTCTACTCTCAGCAAATTTTAAATATACAATACAGTAGTAGTAACTGTAGTCCCTGTGCTATACATTACATCCCCAGGACTTATTTATCTTGTAACTGGAAGTTTGTACCTTTTGACCACCTTCACCCTTTCCCCCCCACCCTCATCCCTGCCTTTTTTTGCCAACCACCACTGTTCTCCGTATCTGTGAATTCAGTTTTTTTAGATATAAGTGACATCATACAGTATTTATCTTTCTCTTTCTGACTTATTTCACTTAGCACAATGTCCTCAAGGTCCATCCCTGTTGTCACAAATGGTAGGATTTCCTTCATTTTTATGACTGAATAATAGTCTGTTGAGTGTATATACCACATTATCTTTATCCATTCATTCACTGATGGACACTTAAGTTGTTTCCATGTCTTAGCTATTATAAATAATACTTCAGTGAATATAGGAGTGCACATACCTTTTCAAGATAGTGATTTCATTTCCTTCAGATAAATACCCAGAAGTGGAAATGCTGGATCATATGGTAGTTCTATTTTTAATTTTTTTGAGGAATCTCCATATTGTTTTCCTTAGTAGCTTCAGCAGTTCACACTCCTACCAACAGTGCACAAGGATTCCCTTCTCTCCACATCCTAGCCAGCACTTGTTATCTCTTGTCTTTTTGATAATAACCATTCTGACAGGTGTGAGTTGATATCTCATTGTGGTTGATTTGCATTTCTCTGATGATTAGTGGTTTGAACACCTTTTCATGTACCTATTGGCCATTTGGATATCTTCTTTGGAAAAAGAAAGTTTTTACCAAAGACATTTTTTAGTTTCTCAACCCATTTTTTAATCAGATTGTTTTTTCACTGAGTTGTGTGAGTTCTTTATGTATTTTGGATATTAACACCTTATCAGATATATGATTTGCAAATATTTTCCACCATTCTGTAGGTCACCTTTTAATTTTGTTGATTGTTTGCAGTGCAGAAGCTGTTTAGTTTGACGTAATCCTACTTGTTTATTTTTGCTTTTGTTGCCTTTGCTTTTGGTGTCAGATCTAAAATATTGTTAAGAACAATGTCAAGGAGCTTACCCACTATGTTTTCTTCTAGGAGTTTTATGGTTTCAGGTCTCATGTTTTGAGTTGATTTATGTATGTGATGTCAGAGAGTAGTTCAATTTCATTATTTTGCATGTGGCCATTCAGTTTTCCCACCACCATATATTGAAGAGACTGTCCTCTCCCCATTGTATATTCTTGGCTCCTCTGTCATAAATTAATTGACCATACATGTGTGGGTTTATTTATGGGCTCTCTATTCTGTTCTCTTTATCTATGTGTCTACTCTTTTGCCAGTACCATACTGTTTTGATTACTATAGCTTTGTAATACACTTTCAAATCAGGATGTGTGATACCGCCAGCTTTCTTCTTCTTTTTCAAAATTGCTTTGGCTATTTGGAATCTTCTGTGTTTCCATACAAATTTTAGAATTTTTTCTATTTCTATGGGAAAAAAAATGCCATTGGAATATTGATAGCGATTACATTGAATCTGTAGATTGCTTTGGGTAGTATGAACATTTTAACAATATTCTTCCAATCCATGAGCACAGAATATCTTTCTATTTTTATTTGTGTCTTCAACTCCTTTCATCACTGTCTTACGGTTTTTAGTGTACAGGTCTTTTCACCTCCTTGGTTAAATTTATTCCTTGGTATTTTATTCTTTTTAATGCAATTGTAAATGGGATTTTTTCCCCTTAATTTCTTTTTATGGTAATTCATTGTTAGTTGATAAAAACACAACTGATTTTTTTATATTGATTTTGTATCCACCAACTTTACTGATTATGTTTATTAGCTCTAACAGTTTTTTGGTGGAGTCCTGATGTTTTTCTGTATATATTATGTCATCTGCAAATGGAGACAGTTTTACTTCTTCCTTTCCAATTTGGATGTCTTTTTTTTTTCTTGCCTAATTGCTCTAGCTAGGACTTCCAGGACCATGTTGAATAAAAGCAGTGAGAGTCAGCATTCTTGTCTTGTTCCCAGTCTTAGAGGAAAAGCTTTCAGCTTTTCACTGTTGAGTATGATGTTAGCTGTGGGCTTTTCGTATATGGGTTTTATTACGTTGATGTATGTTCCCTCTGTACCCAGTTTGTTGAGGGTTTTTATCATGAATGGATGTTGAATTTTGCCACATGCTTTTTCTGTATCTATTGAAATGATCACATTATTTTTATATTTCATTTTGTTAATGTTTTTTATTACATTGATTGGTTTCCATATGTTGAACCATCCCCTGGAATAACTCCTACTTGATTATGATGTATGATCCTCCTAATATATTCTTGAATTCAGTTTGTTAATATTTTGTTGAGGACTTTTGAGTCTGTGTTCATCAGGAATATTGGCCTGTAATTTTCTTTTTTTGTAGTGTCCTTGTCTGGCTTTGGGTAATGCTGGCCTCATAAAATGAGTTTGCCAGTGTTCCCTCCTCACCTGTGTTTTATAAGAGTTTGAGAAGTACTGGTATATAATTCTTCTTTAAGTGTTTGATAGAATTCACCAGTGAAGCCATCTGATCCTGGACTTCTGTTTGTTGGGAAGTTGATTACTGATTCGATATCCTTACTAGTAATTGGTTTGTTCAGATTCTCTATTTCTTCATGATTCGGTCTTGGTAGATTGTATGTTTCTTGGAATTTATCCATTTCTTCCAGGTTGTCCAATTTGTTCATATATAATTTTTCATACTAATCTCTTATGATCCTTTTTATATGTGGTATCAATTGTAATTTCTCTTCTTTCATTTCTAATTTGAGTCTTCTCTCTTTTTTTTTCTTGGTGAGTGGCATCTACTCTTTTCCATATAGATATGAACAGTGAAATGGATCCCATCCCCAGCTTCAATCTGATGGCTTCTGATTAATCTAAACCATTTATGGTAATCACATTCCCCCTACCACAGATGGGTTTAGGAATAGACATGTGACCCAGTTCTGTCCAGTGAGATCTGTGGGGTAATATGCTGAGAGATTTCTTGGAAAGATCATCTCTCTTTTTGAAAAAATTAAGGTAAAGGAAAAGATGGCGTGCTGATTCTTAGAACCGCTACATTGGGAATTTTTTGATTGACTTCATGGTACAGTAAATATTTAGATATTACAATTTAACTTATAATTCAATGGCTGATTAAATATACATTTTAAAGGGAGAGAAGATGTCGTTTTAGTGATTTAAAAACTATCAGTAGAGAATATATTGAGAAACAACAGAAAATTCAAGTATCAGGTTTTGTTGTGTTTTTTGTTTTTTGGCCATGCTGTGAGGCGTGTGGGATCTTAGTTCCCAGACCAGGGATCGAATCCATGCCCCCTGCAGTGGAAGCACAGAGTCTTAACCACTGGACTGCCAGGGAAGTCCCTGCTTTTGTTAACAAAGAGGGACTTATTTGTCTCAGGCATCAAGAAGTTTGGAGATAGCTACTTAGTGATTTTTCAGATGCTTCTTCATTATTCTTAGTTTTCATTCTCATGCTTGTTACTTCATGGTTACAAGATGAGTGCAGCACCTCCAAGCAGGAGGAGGGGGAAAGGCCAGTGGACAAAAGGGGCATGCCAGTTGAGTCTGCCTGCTTTTGTCAGGAAAACAAAAGTTTTCCTGGAAGCCCTGTTTTGAAATCTGGTTTATTGTGTTTTATTAGATACTATTTGCAATCCATCTATTTAATCTATCTTCTCAAATTTAGCTTCAACTATATTAAGTCATTAACTTTTCTACTTTGTGCTTATGTTTTCTAAAGTGGGTATGTTAGACTCAGTAGGTGAGACATTTAATTTCTTTTTACAAAGTTAGGGCTTCTGAGCAAATATATAAATCTGTGCTAAGTTCAATATTTTTCATTTGAACCAGACATTGTGGTAATTTTTAATGAGTTTTATAGTTCTTATGTAAAGTTTTTCTAAGGAAGAACAGAAGACCTATTGAACATTTGAACTGAACTCCATTATAAGAATTACAATACAAACCACCTTTATTCAGAGTCCCTTTTGAGAAAGGAGAGTCACAGTCCGTTAAAGGAAAAAATGAGCAGTGTTTAAATTTAATATCTGTTATTGTGTCCAGGATTTATCTACACAGACTTAGCTATTCCTAAGTTGTATACTGAACTCTATTTCCTGACATACCCTCCTGTCCCCACCTCTATCCTGTTCACAGACATATTTATTCTCAGTTATTTAGATAAATCATTACAGTAAAAGTTAAAAGCATAATTTAAGAGAGAAAGAAAATGTAGTTTCAAATTAACTGCTGGAGGTGGAGATGCACGCTATGGACAAGGTGGAGCCATACTTCAGAAGGAATACAGATTCAGGGTGTGGTGGAGCAGGGTGTGGCCTCTTTATAGTGGAGATGGGGTGGAATGCAGACTTCAGGCTTTGCTGGGGATGGGGGAATTAGGCCTCCATTCAGAGTGCACCCATTCCAAGATTCTGGATCCAGGATAGATGTGGGAAAATAGTTTCCGACTCTGCTAAGGTGAATGCTAGTTTAAGTTCATCTCAGTAATTGAAGACAATAAATGAAGTTTATATTTGTTTCACCTACCATACTTTTACTATTGTGGCTAGAGAGGTCCCAGATCTTAAGGGAATAAATGAAGTTTGTATGCTCTAGGATTGTTTTGAAAGAAAGACGTAAATAACTCATCAATTTCACTAGTGTTTTTTGCTCTCCCATTTTTATAGTATAAAACAGGGTCTCTCTTGTTATATAACTTTTATTTTTCCTGATCTTATTATACAGGAGGAGAGGAATGGGAAAACAGATTATTTGATTTCTGCATCTGAACTAGGGAAGAAGACAACTCATTAGCAAATCTAGTAGTTACTTTGCCACAAAATTTTAATCCAGTTTTTTAAAGTTATTACAATTATTGTGGACTGTACTGCATGTCGAGGCTAATTGGAAACAGTGACCAGATTCTTAATCATTATCAGGAAACTGCATTCAGAGAATGAGAAGAACACCCCCACTGGATGAATTGCAGCCACCACCATATCAGGATGACAGTGGTTCTCCCCATCTCTCATGTACACCCTCAGAAATTGGGGACAGTAAATGTGAATTTTCCCACTGCAGCAACAGTCCAAGATGCTCATATAACAAGTGTCCAAGTGAAGGAAGCACAGGTCATGAAATAGAAAGTTTTCATAATAAAGGATATGAAGAAGATGTTCCAAGTGACAGCACTGCAGTCCTGAGCCCTGAAGTAAGTAAAAGCACATAGAATTTTTGAAATGAATGTTATTTGGAAGATAATAATCCTGTGCTTATCCTCTTGGTCAGAAGGTTTTATCACTATCTTGTCCTTTATGGCTTATGGTACCAGTTTCTATTTTTATCCAGCAGATTTTTCAGGGCTGTCCCAACCATCCTTCAACTCCCTTTCAAAAGAGGACAGGTAGATAAAAATGAGAGCAATATGCAAGATATTGAGAAGTATCTTGCCTCAGGTTTCAACCTCAGTAGGGGTTTAAAAATATATATTTTTTAACATTTTACATAAAACATTCTGGAATTACCCATTTCTTTTATCTTAAGGTTCCTATTTATGTTTGTTTTTTTTTTTAATTATTTTATTTGGATATTTTTACTATTGAGAGGTGGCCCTTTAATGTTTTATAAGCCTTTCAGAATAATGTCTGCATTTCCATACCATGGAATATGGAAGGGATAAGTGATGCTCAGCTTTACTAATGAAATTTGAATTCATGGCATCATGCATTCAGAGTGGTTGGTTGGTTGTGTTTTAAGTTATTTCCTTTTTTTGGAGCAAAAAATGTGAAAACAACAACAAAAATAGGTGTGTTATACTTTTGAAGTCTTTCCATGTTCTAAAAAGGATTTGTTTTAATCTTTCAATGATGTTAAAAACTATAAAGGTAATCTAGAGGTTTTCATTAGGCAGTATTTACTTTTAGGTTTCCTTTTTTTCTAGATGGCAAGTTTTTACAACTTTTGTCCCAGACAACATTTCATGACACTGCAGTGTGTCAGTGTTCTTACTAGGTGAATTTTTATCTACTGCCAAAATTAAATAATGAAAGTACAGCTCTGAATAGAATTTCCTTAAGGTTTTTCTTATATAATTTCTAGGAACACTTTATCTGTTACTACTCCTTTACTATTTCTAATGTTATTACATAGTATCTAACTTAGAAGGGAATTCTGCATTGGTATTATAAATTTAACATAGCAGTATTTCATCATTTTCCACAAGAATATTTCTCCATGTTTTGTACCTGAGCAAATTTGAGATAACTATTTTATAGATTTGCAAACTATATAGATAACCAACACATAAACAGTGAAACTTGGATTGTGGAACTAACAACAATAATAATAGCTATCACCAATTGTGCCAAGAACTTTTCTATAAGCTTTACATAGCTCATTTAACTGTAACAACCTCATCTTCAGAAAGTTGTTATTTCCATTTTAGAAATGAAAACATTAAGACTCAGAGAAATGAGCAAGTTGCCCAGGTATAAGTAGCTCTTAAACAGTAGAACTGTAATTCAAAGCCAGGTCTGCCTGACTGCCAAAACAGTGGTCTTAACAACTATGCTCTATTGCCCCTCTTGACATGAATCACTGTGTGAGAAATTACTTTGAAGCATTGGTACCCTCCAAGTACACCACCAGGCAAGCTATCCCAGAGGACTCACAGACCAAATTAAGATGCTCAGGTTACACTTGTGTGTGTGTGTGCATGCATGTGTGTATGTGTGTTCTAAGCTATTTCAAATATAAAGCAAGAAGGAAGAGGAGCAAGATAAGGTAGGAGAACACACTTAGGATAGGATGCCCTTAGGTACAGGTGGCGAGACAACAAACACCGTGTGAATCCTGGTTTATATAATGTCCTTATGTTCAGTCTTGCTCTTTCTGCTCCATCAGCATTCCCTAATTGCGGCACGGTAACAAGGACAAAAGTTGAGATTTGAACAAAGGTGCCAGGGGCCAAAAACACATACTTGTTTTATGGGAGAGATGCAGGGGCAAGTACTCCTGGCCACAAGTGAAACTTGCAGTTAGTCTACTAAATAGACATAGATTTTATCTGCATTTCTTGAATACGTGGGTGACAGAGCTCTCAGCCCAGAGGTGACATGATCATAGCTTGGCCTTTCCATCCCTTTCCATAGGTAATAGTCATTTGTTCTATCTCATTCTCTGTTTATTCTGTCTTTGACATATCTTAACAAGTTATTAACTTAGTTATTATATATATTTACCACGTCTTCTGAATTCTGCCTGTGTCTCTCAAGTTACTTCCTTACTTATTATCTGTAGTTAACAGAACCTGTGAGTTTTGCCCATATTTCAGAAGCTTGCTGTGTTAACACTTCTATTGAGTCTCCTCCATCCTGCTTGTTTTTGTGTCTTCTGCAGCAAAACAATATGTTCAAACTACAGCAAATGCATGTCACATAAATATTTAGGTGCTGATAGCCTGTGTTAGTGTAAAACTCATTCTTGTGTTTTTTCAAGTTTACTTTGCTTCCTACCATTCCTTTAATAGATATTATTTATCAGATAGAAAATTCTTACCTTCCTATTGGTTTAATCCAGGATCCAGCTATTTTAGAGCCTATCTTCCTACACAGTTGAACTGGGAGAGGAGTGAGGAGGGTTCAGAAGGATTCCCCGGCAAGGAGTTCATTAACTGTATTGATGACCTGTTGCTGGCTAAAGATTATTGAAAACTTTGACTCAGAACCTTGAAAAGAGGGATTATTTTCTAATTACCTGTGTGTAGAATACAAATAGTAGCTTTTATCTGTAAAAGTCCCACCCTTTTAACCCTCAGTTTCACAAGGAATGCCTAGGAAAAAAAAAAAAAGGGAGGCACCAAGAGAAACAAAATTCAGAAATAGTTATCTGAGACCGTATAAAAATCTTTATTACCTTGAAAATCTTAGCTGTCATGACACTGTTTTAGAAAATATTTAACTGAAAAATAAATTAATGTAATTAATCATCTAATTAGCAATTATGAAGTGGCATGCATTAAAACATTTTGTTCTAAACTGTCAATTTAACAGAGTAAGAGTATTTTTACCCTGATCTAATCATATTGCATAAAAAACTGAATTATTCTATGAGAGTTTGTTCCTACTCCTAAAGTATTCTTCACTTGTCATCTTTTCTTCCATACACCATACAAAATTGAGTCATCGTAGGTAGACATGTAAGATCTATGAGGTCAAAGACTTGTGTCTTTTTGGTTCTCTGCTGCATCCCCCACCCAAAATATGTCCTGGTACATAGTAGGTGCAGTAGTTAGGCACATGTTAATCTGCTGTAACAAGGAGACAAGTACAATGGCAAATACAGATACAAAACCACAGAAGATTGTTTGTCTTTCATTTAACAATACTCCTGGGTGAGTAGGTGACTTTGCTCTACAACATCATCCAGGGGCCCAATTCCTGCTTTTTAGTCACTCTTCTGTCCCCTAGGGTGTTGTCCTAATCCACATGGTCCAAGCTGACCCACACATCCATCCTATCTCTGTATCTGCTTGTGGGAAGAGTGAGAGAGAGAGAGTGAAGAGCACATAATTTTTTCTACAAACCTGATCTGGATGTTTCATACAGAACTCTGTTTCTCTCCCTTTGGCTAGGGCAGAGCTTCATTGCTATATCAGTTGTAAGGAAGACTTCAAAGTAAAGTCTCTTGCCAGACAATGTGTTTCTGGCTAAAACCCAGGTAGTTTTTTTGAAGACCAAGAGTCAGTAGTAGTGCCTACTACAGTACGCATTAAATAAAAGTTCAGAAAAATTCAGAAAACTATAAAATTGGCCCACATTTTAAAATGAAAGTCACTTAATATTTATTAAAATATTTGAAGGGGTTAAGTGGTATAGCTGAAAAGTCAGAGACCTGAATTTGGCACTATTTGTCACTAGCTGAAACTCCTATTACATTCCAGATAGTTAGACTAGCAGGAACTTTAGACAATTCCAGGCAAAAGAGATACAGTTTCTTTTAACCTTACAATTAAAATATATAGTTTCATACTTTCTTGAACTTTTGGAATATGTATTCTGCCATTTTCAACAGTAATTAGTATTAGAAAATAATACGTAATTTTAAATTCTGGTTAAAAATTGTAGTGTGTGTGTGTTATGGAAAATAAATATTTGGCTGCAAGTATTTTGAGGCCTTTGTATTTATACTTTCATATTTCACACTTCCATTGATTTTCAAGCCTAAATGTGTTAACATTCTATTACAGATGGGGGCATTTGAAACAAATCTGAAAATGGTACCAAATTTTTCAGTAGCATTATACGTTCATTTATGTTCTCTTTCTCTCCAGCCTAATATTGAACTCTCAGTTGTTTTGTTTATAATGTTACAAGTTTAGTGATTTTTTTTTACAAAAGGAGCAGAAATATACATGGAAGTATATATTTTCGTTTCTCATGATAAAAACATATATCGAACTTTCTCAAAATTGTGATGGTGGATATTAATTAATTCTATGTCTTTATTATAATAAGTTTTTGAGTTTAACTTACCACTTACATTACTTTGTCCCCATAGCTTTTGATTGTAGTTGGCTGTTAATTATTATTACTTTCTTTATGATAGCAAATAAAAACAGTTTTCATATCATTCTTCTAAAGAAATATCAGATACTGATTTACATGCTAGATTAAATAATAGAGTTAAAAATTGAAAACATTTAAATTTGCTTTTCTTAGGATATGTCAGCTCGAGGATCATCTTCACAGCTTCCTAAACCTTTTGATCCTGAGCCAGAAGCTAAATATGGCACACTGGATGTGACTTTTGACTATGACTCACAAGAACAGAAGCTTCTGGTAACAGTGACAGCTGTCACAGATATCCCAACATATAACAGGACAGGTGGCAACTCATGGCAAGTACACCTTGTTCTTCTACCTATAAAGAAACAAAGAGCAAAAACCAGCATCCAAAGAGGACCATGCCCTGTCTTCACAGAAACATTCAAATTTAATCATGTTGAATCTGAGATGATTGGAAATTATGCAGTTCGGTTTAGACTGTATGGTATACATCGCATGAAAAAAGAAAAGATTGTGGGGGAAAAGATTTTTTATTTAACAAAACTGAATCTTCAAGGGAAAATGTCATTACCTGTGATATTGGAACCTTCTTACAATCATTCTGTGAGTATCTGATCAAATAGCCCAAATACAGTTTATGTATATAATATACACAATTTTAAACATCTATGATCAACCCAACAACTTTCTCAGCCTATTTTTTACATAGTAATCATACCTACAAAATTTCTAAGTCCTAAATAGGTAGGTATAACTTTCTGTCATCTGTAAAAGTAGCCCTTGAAGATTATATATGATTTATTTTATGTATTTTATTTTATCTTCACAGAGTCTGGCCTGAGGTCTTACATATTTATTCCTTTGTTAAACATTTATTACAGGATTGCTTATGACATCATCTGAACTCCTTATAGAATTTATTGTTTTCTTTCCAGGTTAAAACTAGGTGATACTTTAACAGCTATCTAGCCCATATCTTATTTGATATACTGCAGAAATTATTTACTTTTATAGAATTTGTGCTGCTGCCTAGGTCATAACTGATTATCCTTCCAGAACTGCTATGAAATTATTTTTAAAGGTTCAAAAAGAACTCTGCCCTTGTTTTACTTTCTACTTTTTTTTCTTTTAAACAAAGATTTTGCAGTGTTTCTGAGAGAATACTTCCATTTAGTACTATGAGCTATTCTCCCTTTTCTCTTTTTTCCTCCAGGTACTGATCACACACAAGTGTCTCTCCCTCACTGTCTGTCTGTCATCTCTCTCTCCATATTTTTAACTAAAGTCCTGCAAGGCATCGCAAATCGCAGCAGAGTTGCACTGTTTATTTAAACCAGGGAGATACACTATGCCACATAGTTATTTAGATTATGAAAAAATCTGTGATATGCTGGAAATATAAATTTTGAATTATGTTTATTCCTCTCATAATTGAATAAGAAGCATTTTTACACATAAATATACAGATTTGGAATAGACTTATATATTAAAATAAAGGCATAATATTTTAGAGTTGTTTTTAAGCCTTTAAATGTATTAAGCATAAGTGCAAGGTTAGAGTCTCACTGAATTTATACCAGGCAGCATTTGATCTTATAGGACCTTCATTCCCAATAGAACCGTACCATTTTAGCTAGATGATTTCAGCATCTTTAAAAACCAAAAGGTGATAATAAATATAGTATATCCCTATGGGTTTTTAATATAATATTTATCCTTTATTGGTAAATTGATAACTTGTTTTAATTTTACATTTTAGAATTACTGTTTGGGGAAAATGTCTTTTTTAAATGATATCAGCAGTTTATCAGAGGAGAGGCAAAAAAAGTGCAAGCACTATTTCAGAGGGAAGAAGATAACTTTTAATAAAATTGAATATTCTATAGTTCTTGCTATGATTTTTAAACTTTCTCATTATTTGGTTTGAGTGATCACTAGTTAATCTGTGGAAAATGCATCCTTATATATAGAAATACCTGATTTATATTAGAAGAGAATGACTGTATCATCAAGAGGTATGTATTTTGTGTTTCTTTATTTGCTTTGAGTTATCTGTTCCCAGTTCTGTATTAATTATCTTCTTTTCACAAAGAAAATGAAGCCATACAAAATAATATGTTTTTTTCCTCTGGTCAAACTAAATGATTTCTATCCACACCTACATCACATGTGTTGGCTTATGTTTTTTTTTTTAACATCTTTATTGGAGTATAATTGCTTTACAATGGTATGTTAGTTTCTGCTTTATAACAAAGTGAATCAGCTATACATATACCCCCTTATCCCCTCCCTCTTGCGTCTCCCTCCCACCCTCCCTATCCCACCCCTCTAGGTGGTCACAAAGCACCGAGCTGATCTCCCTGTGCCAGGCGGCTGCTTCCCACTAGCTATCTGTTTTACATTTGGTAGTGTATATATATGTCCATGCCACCCTCTCACTTTGTCCCAGCTTACCCTTCCCCCTCCCCGTGTCCTCAAGTCCATTCTCTGCATCTGCATCTTTATTCCTGTCCTGCCCCTAGATTCTTCAGAACCATTTATTTTATTTTATTTTTTTTAGATTCCATATATATGTGTTAGCATATGGTATTTGTTTTTCTCTTTCTGACTTACTTCACTCTGTATGACAGACTCTAGGTCCATCCACCTCACTACAAATAACTCAATTTCATTTCTTTTTATGGCTGGATAATATTATATTATATATATGTGCCACATCTTCTTTATCCATTCATCTGTCGATGGACCATGTGTTGGCTTATGTTTGATTCTGTATTTCTATATGTCTGACAGCCAGTACAATAAATTTCTGTGGAGTGTTCAGAAAAAGAAAAAAGTGCTAAATAGATAGCTTCTAAGACAACATTTAAATCTGAACAAAACTATTTATCTTCTGCTCTTAGAGAATTTTTTCTCTGCATTGCCATGCTTCTCAAAGTTAGTGCCTGTGTTGAATTGTTGCTCTGTCTTGGCCTTCTTTCTTTCTCCACCTGCTCAAAATCTCATTGCTTGTTTTTGGCTTCTGTGCCAAGAGCAACTAGTGTCAAAAACAGCTAGTGTATGACAGTTGTGAGGTTAAGACTCATAATTCTATCAGCTGTCTTGTCGTAAAAATAAAATACTAGAAGAATGTATGTGTTCTGTCTGTGCTCTAGTGTTAATGTTCTCTTTGCTTAGGTGTTGATATTAACTGTATAGAGAAATCATGTGATTGTGGATTACTTAGGTGATTTTAGCTCTAATTTTGTAAGATGTAATAATATATGAGTGAGAGGTACTTTCATAATTAAACATTTATTCTTATGGCTTTTGAATAATTACTTCTTTTGCAAGAATATTAGCCTTTTGGCAAGGGAAAGTTTTAATGCAGTTAAAAAATGTATAGACTATGGTTAAAACATTTTCAAAGCTTAATTACAGTTCAATTTCATGGGTAATAATAGAAAATTAGAATTCTGCATATAGAATTTAGTTTTATAGCTAGTTTTTCAGAAACTGATCAAATCAATACATTGAGAGAAAAATGACCAGTATCACCAAACTGACTTTCTGAGAACTAAGGCCTGAGTTTCCTTGAGGGTAAAATTTAAGTTTAACATTAAGGTAAGCGTATAGTTTGATCAGTGAACAGTGGAAAATATATGAAGGGTTGAAAAGCATGAGTTCTTTCTACTAACCAGTTGTGTCAGTTTGGATAAATTATCTAATCATTTTGGGCATCAGGTTTCTTTTTTGTAAAATGAGAGAATTAAAACAAATGATCTCTAAGGTTCTACCCAGCACTATATTCTCTGATTCTACTAATATATATTGGGAGAAAAGTTAATGGATTTTAGGTGAGTTTTGTATGCTTAGCATATGACATTTTGTTGTGGGCATTTATTATGTTTTCTCACTCCTTCATACTTTTTTCAGCAACCTTCTAATGTCTGAGGAAGTCCCAACTAAGTCCTACCTCCCTAAGTTAAGCTGTATAATTCACTTCCCTAGTTTCACTGGTAGCTAGGGCACGAGCCATGTTACCTAGACGCTCCACTCATATTCATCTCTAGGAAACCTCAGCACAGACTGAACAGAGAAGCAGATGCTGCACTCAAATTATGTTCTCATCAGGTTGAAGGAATCTGATATCGAGTCATCAGTAATTCTGAAATAGATTTGCTGGTACAGAAATTGTATTGGTGCTGAACGATAATAAATAATAATTACAGGAAAGAAAAGACCTTGGCATAGAAGTGTCCACTGGAAGCAGTAGCAGATTTCCTCACAAGGTCAGTTCTGCAGTATGGTTTTAGGGTTTTTTCTTGAGAAGCTTAGCCATAAACCTGGTTCTCTAGTCATACCACTCCCTTTAATAAATTGCTGTTCCGCTTAGACAGTTAGCTTCCAATGATTTCAAATAAGAACCCTGACTGGTAAATGTTGAAATAGCCATATGGTTTAGTATTTACTTGCTTTAGTCAGTTCTTAAGTTATACTCAATAGTTAGAATGTTGTCAGTTACCCTTCCTACCATGGTATATCCCTCTCATAAGCTGAACTTTTCTCATACACTCACCTTGTTTGTATGGCATTCTTTCCTAAGTGTATAACCCCAGTTACTTTCTTCACTTGCATTTTTGGTACCATATAGTAATCTCTCTATTACAGTTATCTGGAATAGCCTCTCGCCTTTTCCTCCCTCAAGTTTTATTTCTTATTCAATTTATTAAATTTATTAATAATATTATATGTAGTCATTATGATTTATTAATAATGAAACTTTATTCTTTCTCTCATAAACATAGAACACTTCCTGTATAGACAGTACTTAATTAGTATAATCTATGCAAAGTAGTCTGTCTAGCTAGAAAATTGGGACTTCAGTCCTACAACTGCAAAGCACTGAATTCGGCTAACAACTTGAATGAGCTTGGAAGTAGATTTCTTTATCAGAGCCTCCAGATAATATCCCAGCCCAGCTGAAACTTTTATTCAGTCTTGTGAGACCCTAAGTGGAACATCCACCTGAGCTCATTTGGACTCCTGACCTACAGAAAATGTGTTGAAACTTAAGTTTTAGTAACAGAGGGTACTTAATATGTGCCTAGATGTCTATAGTTCATTAAATCTGGCTCCATATTTCATTTCTGTGTGAACACATAAGAGTTATTGGAAATAGACATGGGAGTGGGTGGGATTGTCTTGGGTGAGAAGAGAAAATCCTCAGGAACTCCTACATGTAAAGATTGGAGAAAGGTGGGGTAGAGTAGGAAGAAAGATAGTAAAATATCACAAAATCCAAGAATGAGGTTTTGAAGGAAGGAATACTCAACTTTGTTAAATGCTCCAGATGGAACCAATAATCTGAGTGCTGAAAACTGTCCATTGAATTTAGGATATGCAAGTAATGGGTAGCCTTAGAGAGACCTGTTTTGGTGGGGTAGAGGGGTTAGAATCCAATCTAGAGTGGCAATCATGTAGACAACTCTTCCACCAAGTTTGACTGTGAAAATAGAGAGGGGGGCGGGTTCAGGAAAGATGTTTCTGAGGTTAGGGGAGATTTGGGCATGCTTAAATACTAATGCAAATGGTAAAATATGGAGTGTAAGATATAGGAGAGC